TATTGATATATAAACTGTAACTTGTTTGTCATGAGTCTGTGTTTTGGATCAACTGGCGAGAATGGATTAGGTCTTTGTCTGGCCAGAATGTGACAACTGGGTTCCACACAAGCATGCAGACAGATGGAGCCTGGGGGACTTAAGTGGACCACAGTCCCCTGTCTCCAAAGCAAACATATATATATATATATATATGTATACAATGTGTTTCTGTGTGTATATAAGAGTTCGGTAGAAAACTTGGACCAATTTAAAGAAGAATTTCCTTTTAGAAAATGAAAAACATTTAAGAAAAATAACCAAGGGGATGAAGCACAAGTACAAAAGAAAAAAACATGGAATTTACAACTTATTTAGGATGTCAAATGACGTCCCCTAAATCTTTCACCAAGTTTAGCAAATGACCCTTAGAAAAAAAAAACTAAAATTCTAGAATCAAACATCCCAAAAAGTCTTCTTCCTTATAAACCAGAAAGCTTGAGGGATAAGAAGCTTATTACTTCCCTAAGATGCCTTGCTATGGCCACACTTTATCTCTCATCAAACTTGCCCTGATTGATTTCGCTGTTAGGAGGCTCAAAATCATAGACCACAAACAATATGAACATTGCATCTTATCAAAAGATGATTGGGAGTTTGTGCCATGTTCTAAGTTAGAAAACATCCTTTCCCCATAATCTTACTGCATTTAATAAGCTTATCTAAGTGAGAATTCGGCTTGGTTAGATTCCCAAGCAAAGAAAGCTTTTCTAGGAGATGCATTCTTCCTTCAAATATGCTTCTTAGGAAAACAAGAGGAGCAAATGGGAGGTTGGGTTATGTGTTTATAGTATAACTTGAGTAAGAAATAGCTTTATGATGAAAGCTTCCAAAATGGGTTCATCCGCCCTAGAGAAAGAAACCTGAATAGTTTCAATAATATGCACTAAGCGAATGTAATCCTCTTCATTTCCGTCATTCAAGTTCCTCGCAAGCTTCATCCGACCATAGCAAACAGTTGCTCACAAGAGCATTGTTCCTTCTAACTAAAGGAAACAAATTCAAACTATGTGCAGAGCAAAGAAGGGCCAACGAAACATGGTTCCAAAGAAGAACTCTCTTACCATACCCATTGCCCACACTAAGTAACTGTGAGGATCCCTGGCTCCTTTAAGTCACCCAACCCCTCTTATTCCTGTCATATTTTCCCCAATCACCTTCGGCTAGAAATCCCCAAAGCACGACACAAGGAAAAGTCTTGTTGTTAGTTTAACCAAGCTTTCTTTATGTGAGAAAAAATAATAGTTTATAATAATATATTAGCAGAAGGCCATTTTTCTGGGTGTATATCCTTCTTCTGGTAGTCATATTAGAGTAAGACCGGCACACTTAGGATTACTGGAATCAACAGAGTTTTTTTCTTAGCCAGACACTAGGACATGGTCACTGGAATCATCAGGGGTACACACATGCAAGTCTTTCTTTGAGTTCCTCATTACAGACCATCCTTTAAGCCAGTTTCACAAAAGGTAAAAGCTGTCAGAGGCAAAGGTGTTTAATTGGACAGCCATGCATCAAAGACTCAATACTAATGAGATGCTACAAATTCACCATCCTCACGCGTTCTATCTCTTGTGTCATGCTTTAAAGGAGGGGAATCTCATTCCTCTATTCCTCCATTGCGACATAGCTTGGAAGATGTGCTACAAGAATGCTTAGCATGTTTGGACTTAGTTAGGTCACTCCTCCTGTAGTGGAAAGCTTCCTTTATTTACACATAAAGGCTGATGGAGTAAGAAAGGCAGTGAAAGCATTGTGGAGAGAAGCTATTTTCTCTGGTTTATGGATATTGTGGCTTGCAAAGAACAGAAGAATTTTCAATGGCAGACAAACGTCTTTCCATGAAATTTGGAACATAATGACCTTTGGCAACTTTATGAGTCAAGGCACACGGTTATTTATCTGAGATAGTTATTCTTGATCTCCATCAAAATTGGGAGACTATCATATTTGTTCACTAATAACTCACACAATTTGTCCTTTTATGTGCTGTAAAGGGTCTTCTTTTTCTCTTTTGTTCAATTTTTTAGGAGGATGTCTTATTCTCCTCTTTGTACTTTCCTTCCCTATCTTAATAAAGTTTTGTTTTCTATAAAAAGACATTAGAGTAAGACCTTTTTTTTGTATATATTACTTTGTAGTAATATTACATTCTATATGATGGCGAGGGGATGTAGCCAAACTTCATTTTGAGTTGGGTGGACTTGGTATCAAGTCTTTGGTGAACTTAGGTCCTCACTCCTTAGAACTCAAGGGTATAGAGTTACGAGCCTACAGAACAGATCCTGTTCAGATAAGATCATAATAAAGCGCTTTTCAGTAAATGGATTCGAAAGTTTATGACTAATTGGCACACTGTTCTGGTGGAAGGTTCTTAGGGCAAACTATGGGTTGGAGGAGAGGACTTGGATGACTGAAAGAGTGAGAGTTTAGAGGATTTTGGGATTTGTATCCAGTTGAAGGTGGGATTGAGAAGAGAATTCAATTTTTGAGATGACATCTGGAGTTGCTGTTCTCCGCTTTGCATGCAGTCCCCTACTTTGCTTCCATTGGTTATGATAAAGGATACTCTTGTGGGTGACTTTCTCTCGGTAGTTGGTGGCGAATTTGGAGGAACTGCTTGTGGGTGATTTCTTATCATTGGGAAAGCTCATAAAACGTGGTAACATTATGGTGAAAGATGCAATGTTTCATGTTGTTTGTGGTCTATGATTTTGGACCTCTTAAACGGTGCAAGTAGTCGTGGTTGGTTTGGTATTGGATGAGCTGTGAGATGACAATGTCCTTTTGGTGATAGGGGAGGATTAAAGTATTTTTTTCTAATCCCTCAAGCTACTGTGAGGGTTATCTAGAAGAATATGAAATACTAGAGCTTTTAAGGGTTTCTCATTGCTTTTGATACAGTTAGTGATGT